CACAATCTAAATAACACTTTCCTATGGGGCTGCGATTTAATCAAAACATCAATCAGCAATACAGAGGGCATAAGGTGTGGTTTCATAGGCCAGAGGTAAGGAATACAAGACTATTTTGCATAGTGTTCCTAACGTAGACTCAGTTGATATGATCAACCAACTAAATGGCGCCCACCTTAATAAAAACAGCTCATCATGAATGCCTGGAGATGCAGAATGACACGCCACGACACAACGACTCCCACCCGAGACTTTAGACAGCTCGCCCCACCCCCGGCACACCCCCTCACACGGTCGTCGTCCCCCTTAACTAGGGAAACACGAATTTATGGGCTTCCCGAAGCAAACAAGCTGCTTCTATGTAGCAGAGGCCACGAACGGGCAAGCAACTAGTGGATCAGATTCGGCAATTTATAATTGCAGAATAAACAGGAAGATTGCTCCTGTCTGCTTTCATTCAGTAATTCATAATCCTAGTTACCAGATGAGACTGGAAACAAAAAAATGAGCTTGCGTACCGTGCGGATAATTTACACAATGGGTCTAGCGGATGGATCATAAAAACTTAATCGGACCGAAGTTCGCCTCGCAATCTGCCATCCTCTTGACTGAATGACGGGCAGTAAGCCTGAAAGAGTTCTCCAGCAGGTTACCCCCAAACACGTTCTCCCCACTCTGCTATTATAGTTTGGCCGATGTCGGACCAGCAGATGTTTGCCTGTTTGTGACTCCTAAAATCCATACGAAATTTGTTTATCTCGTGAAGCCAATTGGATCGATAAACGCCCATTCCTGAACTTGTATACACCCAGTCTGCAGTGATATCAAAGGTAGCTTAAATGCACCAAAAAGTGAAAGATATTCACAGATCTTCACGCCATCCAAAATGCAATTTGTCCGGCCCAAAATATTTGGAAAACTTGCGGGTAGTGAGGGGTTTTACCAACCAGTGGCACAGGGTAAATATAGAAATAAGTCTAGTGTACAACTTGGCATTAAAACAGAATATTCTAAATAGGCCTTCTAATATGGAAAAAACTGGTTCCATTAGGCCTTTTGGAACCATGTGAAATAAACAAAAACGTACTTTAGAGGAATGCTGTTATAATTTTCAGTGGAGTCCTGGTCGTCAAACGTAAGCTGAGTGGAGAAAGAGAGGGACTTTTCGCTACCCGATGGAAATCCCAGCAGAATACGAATCTCTGGGTCGGTGGACTCGACTACAGCCTTGCAGTGGGAGTGCATGCTGAGATTGTACTTGAAGAAGGAGATTCGTACGAATGGGAACGACTGAAATTCCTAGTAATTCGAAGGGACAACGAAAGACCTCTAATATGATCTAATCAGTTGCAAGTTAGAATGCATATTCATAAAAACGTAACTGGAAGGGAAAAACCCATCCCACCTGAGGTATAATGACATATTGTAGAGGAAGTGCGCCCAGTAGTTTGGTATTGCAATTATGAGTAGCGATTGCTTATAAGACCCCGATGGATGAATGGATTCGGATTGTCACGATTGGATCGTTATAAGTTCTATTTGCTGTGTTATATACTTCACAAACAGTCCCGTGCTGGAAGTCAGTGGAGGCATCATTTGCGTTATGGCACCATTCTCTTGAGAGTGAACAAACACATTCATGAGGAAGGGTAAAAGACTTCGGTTAAGCGAGTAAGCAGTCGAACAACATACGTGC